ACCAAAGCCCCAAGAGATATAAGGTATTAGCATGTGTCCAGCCCGTCCACCGTCACTTTTTTTGGGAAAATCTAGATAAAAAGGTTACTTTTTCACCCTGTTAGAAGTCAAAACATCACTAAGAGGAAACGGGGGTAATATCAAAAATGAACTCCTATGAGAATGAGGAAGTTGGGTTGGCCATCCTTATTTCTCAAAAAAGCTAAATTTAAAGGACAACTATGAGGTGGGTGATTTTCACTCAGCCTCATAGGTCGAGCCGACGTGTGACAATGAAACTGTCACACGTCGGCTCAATGGATCGGGAAGTGAGCGAGCACATACCGTCGCTCGCTCACTTCTCGATCATCTCCCTGCAGAGAGCCATGACTGTCACTCACGGCTCCCTGCAGGGATTCCCCCTCCCCTGTCCGATCCTCCAGCGCTGACTGGCGGAACGGACGGGGGAGGGGTGGGGACAGCTGGCTCTGATAGGCAGAGCCAGCTGTCAATCACGCAGCTGGATGGATCTCGACAGTAATGTCGGGATCCGTCCCGGCTGCGGCGTTCTCAGTATACCGCAAGCTGTAGCTCGCGGTATACTGAGCTTTGGGTCACGGGAGGACGCTAGTTTGTGTCCTCCCATCACCCTTAGGAGAACTAAGGGGGAAAACACTAATCCCATAGTTCTCCTTTAAAGTAAAATTGAATGTTTGTGCTCCATCAAGTCAACTTTTAAAAGCCATAGACACTATCGAACACCCCCACACTAGAACACAACCAGTTGCAGCAAATTAAGTTGGATAAACAAAATTTATAGCACGGTCATAAATCATGCCTAGCTGATAATCTATAAAACCTCTTAAATCAATCGTCATAAATGGCTAATTGGATGTCATAAAACCCATTAGCAGGATGTCTCTTAAACCAATCCTGTTATTAGCAGTGGTAAAATGCCTGTCTGGTATGTGATTCCACACTACTGATTTTTGAACTCCGCAGTTAGAGTTTATAAAACTTTTATAACTTTGGCTATAATGGAAATATTTTTTATAAACTATAATAATGTATCAGCGAATACCAATCAGTTTGATACCAAACATCCCTATGCCGTAATGTAAAAAGAAGGCAGATTGGGCCCATTGCATCTCATAAAGAGAATGTTAATTAGATCAATATGATGTTTGATATCTATCAAATTGTGATTTCATTGTATTCAGTAATATGATGGTTGTTGGATTGTGAAACATAGTAATCTGAAAACCTTGACATTGATACTCTTAAATTAGGTGTGGATTGGCTCAGGGGCACCCTATAAAGGATCCACAAAAAGCTGCTGCAATTGCTAGCTAACAGCTTTCACGTTTTCATCTAAACCAGGGGTGGCAAACTGCGGCCCTCCAGCTGTTGTGGAAGTCCCTTGAGGCTTTGCAAGATTCTCACAGCCATGGGCACGACTCGCAGAGGCAGATGCATCATGGGATTTGTAGTTTCACCACAGCTCGAGGGCCAGAGTTTGCCACCCCTGATCTAAACCATGCCGTGAGCTCATGAGAGTCGATTAGTTTAATACATCAGACTGGACAGCGGATTGGACTCTGCCGAAACCAAAGACTAGGCAAGCATTGCTAAGCCCCTTTTCACTTTTAATGTCATTTATTTTACGGTTGCTTATTGTCTTACTGCTGTTGCTTATTATCTACTTTATTATTTCTGTAACATTGTCTTGCTTTTTTTTTTTACTTTTCTTTAATTCAAATGTTTTAATATTGTTAGGCTGGTTTTCTAATTGTTTTACTCAAAAATGAAAGTATTCCCGTCTCTTTGAAGAAGTATGCTAAACTCTGTTACCTTCCTGTCTGCGTGCCAGTGATTACCCCAGACATTTCCTTAAAGGAGAACTATGAGGTGAGTGCTTTTCACTCACCTCATAGTTCTAGCCGACCTGTGACAATGAGACTGTCACAGGTCGGCTCAGTAGATCGGAAGGTGAGCGAACACATACCGGCATTCGCTCACCTCTCGATCCTGTCACAGCTCTCTACCATGACAGGGGAGGAGCTGGATTCCCCCCTCCGCGATCCGCCAGCGCTGACTGGCGGAATGGACGGGGGAGGGGGCGGGTACAGCTGGCTCTGCCTCTAGATAGGCAGAGCCAGCTGTCAGTCACGCAGCTGGGCGGATCCCGGCACAATTGTCGGGATCCGCTTCAGCTGCGGCGTCTCAGTATACCGCGAGCAGAAGCTTGCGGTATACTGCGGCGTCTCAGTATACTGCGAGCTACAACTCGTGGCATACTGAGCCTAGGGTGACGGGAGGACACTAGTTTGTGTCCTCCCGTTACCCTAAGGAGAACTATGGGGAAAAGCCTTAACCCCATAGTTCTCCTTTAAGGTCAGCATTGTTACAGCAGATAATGTGAACGGTGTGTGTTTCCGTTGAAACATGTTGCGGCAGCTACTGTTTAATGTATATTAGGGATTATATAAGATTAATTATTTAACTGTAGTTTTATGTTCTAGGGTTTAGTGGTTTATGTGTCTACAGGGTTAACAGAGCCCAGTGACAATCACTATGCTGGCACTAGACTGTTGTCCCCTGAGCTGGAAAACCACTGTGCAGGGTGAGGCTGAGCGTGCCATCATCACATATTGGTGGCAGTGGTGGGATTTGCGACAGCCACCGTCACACTCTTCCTACTCTTCCTTAATTTAGAATTTTCCAGGACTGAATTACAGAGAAGTGAGTCTGCAGGGGGACAGCAGCGGAGACAGGACAACTATTGCAGAAAGCTGCTTCTTATTGGTTTAACCAATTCTAAAAAAATTTTTTAAACTTTTATTGAAACAGATGTAAAATGAGATTTAAAAAAAACAAAAAAATGACTCCAGGAATCTTCAGCCATAATGTGCTAGTACACAGAGTGTATAAGCACATTATGGAAGACTTACCTGCCAAATGATCCCCTCCAACGCTGTGCTCCTCCCCTTCTGATGCTTCCATCTTCATCCTGTCTTTCCTCTGGGTTTTGAGTGTTTGGCTGCTTGATTAGCTGGGCCCCGATGACGTAGCTCCCATGCGTGCACACAGGAGCTATTTCATCACGGCATGCCAATGTGTACATGTGGTTCAGTGTACAGAAAAAAAATGCTAACAGGCAGCAAAGAAGCTTTCCTAGCAAAAGAGACTTACACAGTCTCTTCTGCCATAGAAAGCCTGCTGATCGGCCATTTGTCTTTTTAATTCTACTTCCACTTTAAATTTAGTAAATCAGTACTGGACTATAGCATACGCCATCCACTAGACTAGAGAATAATAAAATATTCTATAGTATACATAGAAGGAACAATGTCACCTCTACCGGTCCAGCAGGGTTGTGAAAGGTCATGATTTTGGCAGCAATTTTTAGGATTCCAATAATTAACAGTACAGTAATTAAGTACTGTATAACGCGGTATTCCCCAAGTGGCCTGGCCTGTGAACGGACTATAAGAACACAGGTAGGATGTGTCTGTCCGTTGCAGCCAATCCTCACTTCCTTAAAACTGGGCAATGAGAAAGCAAGAGACGTCACCTGGAGCAACCAGTCAGTTTTTAGTCCGCAGTTGGGACAAATAATAGCGCGCGAGTCACATATGGATGTCAGATCCATTGATGAAGAAGTCAAGAAGCCTCTCACCAAGTTCTCAGAAGTATCATACTGTATAAACAAGAGAATTCTCTGCTCACAATTTAAACTCGAATCCAAGGCAAACATAAAACCTGAACGTTCGTTCAGTCCAAAGTAGGAAGAAGATAGCTGCACCAGAGGAATCCTTTGCAGGACTTCAAGCCACTGCTAGTCTGTTATTTGATCTAGTTCCTTTACCCATTTTTCTCTACACCATGATGACTGCCGGTTGGGTGAGCTGGCAAGCTGTCAGGAACCTAGGACTACTGCCCACAGCATGAGAATGGCCCGACTTACAGCCCGCGCTGTGGCGCGCAGACACGCGCATAGTAGCCAATTAGCGGGTACATGTGCATGGACGCATTGCGGTACGTGAGGCGCGGCGTGCACGCACACTCCCGTTACACCTATTGGCGCCAGTCAGCCTATTTAAACACTGAGCAGCAACTGATAGTTGCTGGAAGACCTTGAGCTGTTCCTGCATCTGACTCCTGTATTGACCCAGCTTGTTCCCGATTCCTTTTGTCTGCTGCCTGCCCTTTGACCCCGGCCTGTCTGACTACTCTCTCTGCTTCCTTATTTGGCTCTGACTATCTGTTTGGTTCCGACCCGGCTTCCACTGACTTCACCTCTGCCTCCCATCCTGCACCTCCTCGCCTGCCAGCTACTGATCCGGTCCGCCTGATTCAGCTTCCTGCTTCTCTGCTGCCATCAGGCCTACAGCTGCTCCTCTGGAACCGGAGGGTCCTGCATCCAGTTACCGGCATCATCTCACCAATACCAGCGGGCCATTAGCATCTAAAGGCACTGGTGTCTCTCTCTGTCTGTGCACTACCATTGCCATCCTCATGGGTGCTCTGATGAGAGTTACAGAAGGAGCCTCCCTCATCATTCAGGCCATACCAGGTACGTGAAACAAGCAGAGGTGTATATGTTTTAGATATGAAACCCTTCTTACACATAGATTCAGCTATAAATAAAATCAGTTCCATTTCATGCATTGTTACAATGCTCCCTTGTTATACCTGAACTTGGCCAAAGCTTGGGGACCTCTCACATGGGACCTGAAGACAATGGACCTTGTCCAAGCTCTACTGGGAACACTGTGCACATGTGACAACAACCACAGACACAACTGTTTTATACCAGACAGACCATCCTAAACATACAGACGTGCCAATAGAGTTCACAGTGCAGTAGATAAGAAAGTGCCAGTAAATCCTCTGCTCATGTTTAATTCACACGTTCGCACACGGCAGTAGAAGTGCTCGGGTAAGGGAGCCATGTACTGTACGAAAGTTCAACAAAGCAACAAACAGACTGTTCATAATAAATGAAACCAGCTTCATACCTTGTTGGGCTTGACGGCTCTCTGCAGGTTCTCTATCCATTTGTCCCTCTCAGCGGCCGAACGACAGGCAAAGCATTTGGTACCCGATGCTGTTGTCACCTGCAGAGGAGAAGAAGATGGGTCAGAGATGATGCAGTATGTACACCAACTCACAGGACAACTCAAACCTTGCTGTGGTGGAGCATCAAAGATCATTGAGGGCCAATGCAACAGAAAAGTGAGGCCAACACCAGACACAATTTAGCTTTGAATAGGGCAGGGAGGGGTTAGAACCTCTAAAAGGTTTTTAAGGTCTGTCATTGTGGAGGTATCACCTCGCTGTCTAAGTCAGCCTTTCTCAGCCTTCTTAGCTTGGAGGAACTCTTAAAAAAGAATCTCTATGCAATGCAGGCAGATCATGGCTGGTGGCCAGCTGGGTACTTACTGTACATAGCTTACTGAAAATATCACAGCACCCTGATGCAAGCAGTGGGCTGGCTCTTGGGAGGAGATATGGAAATATCAAAATGCCGTGATGGATGTAGGTCAGTGGGCGTTCTATGCATGCAAACCGCCCTACGTAATTCCCACATGTGATGCTGGACCTCCATCATTGAAAGGACAGAAATCCAATGAATGAAAGGGGTGGGCCAGGGACAGTCAGGCAGGAGAGAAAAGGGTTAGATGGTGTTGGACATCCTCCAGCCAGGAAATGAGGTGGGCTATATTTGACTTAGACGCTCACAGTGTGCAGTGAAATCAGAGTAATTTCAGTCCAGGGGAGGAGCCGGTACAACTGTGCAAGACTGAAGTTCAGCTTTCAACAAGAACGCTACCTCAAAACAAAACTCCTGTCCCAAGATACTGCTGTGCACGGGTTTCACCACCGAATCTTCATCCAGATTCAGATCCAAGGCCTCCGCAGCGCTGCTCGGACTCAGCAAAGACTCATGGGAGTGCGATTCCTTGAATGCCTGCATAAGGCGAGCCCTAAGGGAGAGAGGCGACAAGACAGAGACATTGGTGACAGTCCTTGACGCCTACCTGTATACATATTACTGCAATCTGTACACTATTTATTGAGTGAGAAAAACTCCGAACCCAAAGACATATTGCATGGCCTACACCCAACTCCACAGTTACATGCAGACCAAGCTGTCCAGCAAAAGTGACAGTGATGGAGGTAATGATCTATTTAAATCGGTAACTTTTATTACAATAATGGCTGGTGATCCTGCCATTCAGGTATTTCCTCTTATGGGGTGACAACATTATTTCTCTGTCTACCAATTGTTTCCCTGTGTTGCCCTCGTGCCACAGGCTCCCCCTGGTGGAGACCACAAGCAGCTGTGCCGACACACATTGCACAGGCATGGTCAACCATTGTTACTATGAGGAAACCCGTACAGGGCAATGATGTGATGGCGATGCTGGAATGTGCATGTAGACAGGAGGTGGCTGAGAGAAGCTGGAGAAGCAACAAAGGATGAAAAAAAGTAAAAAACAATATTTTACGGGGACAAAAATAGCAATTGTTTAATACCCAGCAAACTAAGGGCTCATTAAGACTGGCATGTATGTCCATACAGCGTGCACGTCCATGCAGAGATCAGATCCCAGGAGGGATAGGTGCTGCATGTAACTGCATGATCCAGCCTCTACCTCCCTATGGGAGACAGCTGCACGCGGTTATAGGCTGAGACAAGCCTGCACATCGTTGCCAGTGCAGGTGCCTGCACCCGGACATTGTCTGCATCCAGGTGTGGGCACCCAGACCCGCACTGATCTGCAGGATCAGATCTGCGTGTAGCCATGCGTAACTACGTTACGGGACGTTCAGGCTGCTGCATGTGGTGTAACAGGAAGGCAGATGGCATCTCACTGGGGGGCAGCCAGGTGATGTAGGGGGCGGCAGGGTGGCAGCCACAGCCTCCCAGGTTGCTAAGAGCTCTTAGGAACCTGTGACACATGGTCTGGCGTCCCGCCCAACTCACAGGGGTCACCAGTTGCCAGGGCCGGATTTCCATTTCGGGCACCTGTAGGCATGTATGGAAATCTGTTTAGCCTGAGCCCGTGCCCTTACCTGCTGGGGGACCCGGTGGCTTTCACATATGCAGAAAAGGACCCCCGGCATCAGAAACGCCTATCCACACCAGATAGGCATTTACCAGGGCACACTTACACAGCGCCAGGGTCCGTCCTCTGTGTTTGCGGAAACCGGCTTAGGAGGGTGCATTTTGTGCAGAATGCCATTGCTGGTGTTGTATCTTGACTGGGAATGAGGCAAAGTAGCATGGCACCCCTCTATGGAGGGAGCCTGTAGGCATGTGCCTACTCTGCCTAATGGTAAATCCTGCGGGGGCCAAGAGCTGAGCATGACGCTCTGGCTTGCGACCCGCCGAGCTCCTGGCAAAAAGTGACATCAGTGAGCTGGGTGGGTCGCCAGACACTTCTCTGAAAATAAGCTACACTGGCCCTTTAAGCTACTGGAAGGTTGAGCCCTCCTCACCTGTCATGGTCAGCACTCCGGAACCGTGGGAGGATCTGTCGAAAGCTGCTGGTCCGATCTAGCTTGGGTTGACTCTTTGTCCTCTTTATGGAGCTCTTCAAGCGACGACTCAGGAAACCCTGCTAATAGTCCAAAGGAAGAAGATCAATGAAACATCAGACGCGACAAGAGACCAAGTAAACCTTCACCAATGTAAATGATGGAACAAAGAAATGCAGATGGACACCAGACACGAGGAAAACATCATTACAAAGGATAACGCTGAAGATGAATCTGCTCATATTTTGGCTTCCCTGCTTCCTCCTCCCCCTCCCTGTCAACATGATAATGACATTTTTTAATAGAACTTCAGTTTTCATTACATACCTTACTTGGGACCCAGTGACATCATCACTAGGTCTCTGTGCTTCTTTATGCAATGCAGCAGATCATGGCTGGTGGGAGGAGCCAGCAGTATTCTTCTCAAGAGCCCTCAGCCATGATGCAAGCAATGGGATGGATTTTGGGAGGAGTTATGCAAATAGCATAATCCCTTGATGGGTGGGTGTCAGTCTGGAGGAGTGGGGATTCCCAATGTGCATGCAGACTGCCCCCATGATTAAAAGCCTCTGTTTCCCATGAATCTGTGGGGTACCTTTCCTGTCCTCCTCTATAGACACCTCATAGAACTCTCCAGGCAGAGGTCGGGGATCATTTCATGCACTGATAATCTCTGCAATAAACTTTCACTGATGTTTACCTACATTTGCTGACAGTGCTAAGCTTCAACATAGCGGCATTTTCTGGCAGTGCGAAGCTTTAACAAAGTTACATTTCCTGGCAGTGCTAAGCTTTCCCATAGTCGAATTTCTCGACAGTGCTAAGCTCTGACATAGTGGCATTTCCTGACAGTGCTAAGCTCTGACATAGTGGCATTTCCAGACAGTGCTAAGCTTTAACAAAGTGGCGTTTCCTGACAGTGCTAAGCTCTGACATAGTGGCATTTCCTGACAGTGCTAAGCTCTGACATAGTGGCATTTCCTGACAGTGCTAAGCTCTGACATAGTGGCATTTCCTGACAGTGCTAAGCTCTGACATAGTGGCATTTCCTGACAGTGCTAAGCTCTGACATAGTGGCATTTCCTGACAGTGCTAAGCTCTGACATAGTGGCATTTCCTGACAGTGCTAAGCTCTGACATAGTGGCATTTCCTGACAGTGCTAAGCTCTGACATAGTGGCATTTCCTGACAGTGCTAAGCTCTGACATAGTGGCATTTCCTGACAGTGCTAAGCTCTGACATAGTGGCATTTCCTGACAGTGCTAAGCTCTGACATAGTGGCATTTCCTGACAGTGCTAAGCTCTGACATAGTGGCATTTCCTGACAGTGCTAAGCTCTGACATAGTGGCATTTCCTGACAGTGCTAAGCTCTGACATAGTGGCATTTCCTGACAGTGCTAAGCTCTGACATAGTGGCATTTCCTGACAGTGCTAAGCTCTGACATAGTGGCATTTCCTGACAGTGCTAAGCTCTGACATAGTGGCATTTCCTGACAGTGCTAAGCTCTGACATAGTGGCATTTCCTGACAGTGCTAAGCTCTGACATAGTGGCATTTCCTGACAGTGCTAAGCTCTGACATAGTGGCATTTCCTGACAGTGCTAAGCTCTGACATAGTGGCATTTCCTGACAGTGCTAAGCTCTGACATAGTGGCATTTCCTGACAGTGCTAAGCTCTGACATAGTGGCATTTCCTGACAGTGCTAAGCTCTGACATAGTGGCATTTCCTGACAGTGCTAAGCTCTGACATAGTGGCATTTCCTGACAGTGCTAAGCTCTGACATAGTGGCATTTCCTGACAGTGCTAAGCTCTGACATAGTGGCATTTCCTGACAGTGCTAAGCTCTGACATAGTGGCATTTCCTGACAGTGCTAAGCTCTGACATAGTGGCATTTCCTGACAGTGCTAAGCTCTGACATAGTGGCATTTCCTGACAGTGCTAAGCTCTGACATAGTGGCATTTCCTGACAGTGCTAAGCTCTGACATAGTGGCATTTCCTGACAGTGCTAAGCTCTGACATAGTGGCATTTCCTGACAGTGCTAAGCTCTGACATAGTGGCATTTCCTGACAGTGCTAAGCTCTGACATAGTGGCATTTCCAGACAGTGCTAAGCTTTAACAAAGTGGAGTTTCCTGACAGTGCTAAGCTTTAACAAAGTGGCGTTTCCTGACAGTGCTAAGCTTTAAAATAATGGCGTTTCCTGGCAGAGCTAAGCTTTAATAAAATAGCGTTTCTGACAGTGCTAAGCTTTAATAAAGTGGCATTTCTGACAGTGCTAAGCTTTGACATAGTGGCGTTTCCTGACAGTTCTAAGCTTGAACATAGTGGCGTTTCCTGACAGTGTTAAGCTTGAACATAGTGGCGTTTCCTGACAGTGTTAAGCTTGAACATAGTGGCGTTTCCTGACAGTGCTAAGCTTGAACATAGTGGAATTTCTCTACATTTGAAGTAATAGAGAAGTAACAGAGCGCACGCAGTCAGGGCCGGATTTACTCTCTCTGCTGTCCCAATGCCAGGTTTCGCAATGCGCCCCCCTATCCACCAACTACCCCCCACGGAGAATGGCAGACCTGCAGGCTGCATACAAGTGATCTCGGCAAAATCGCCGGGACCACTTGTACAAAACAAGTGGCGGCTTCCCCGCTGTACATTTAGCTCTGCTTGCCCAAAGCAGGGCTAAATGTAGAAAACAACTACCCGCCCGGGGCCTGGAACTGCATGTCCCGGGCATCGGGGGATAGGAATTCCACACCCCTGCTGCCCCTCTACTCCCTGCTGCCCCAAGGCCGGGCCTCGGTTGGCCTTGTGGGAAATCGGGCCCTGCATGCAGTAAGTTTTGTGAACTGACATCTTAGTACCAAACGTTGTCCAGAGGTCCATACATCTTGTACCCTCATTATAGCTAATCACGTCCCGCTCAGCCTAAAGTGAACCAGTCACCACTGCCAACCTAAACCCAGTCCACACAATGTTAATAATTCAATGATGCTCGGCATCCAACAAGCTGCGTCCCTTGCTGTCATCATATCTACCAGGGGTGCCAGTGGTGAGATATCCCAACCAGAAGTCCCAGTCCATCCCAACAGTGGCAGCTGTTACAAAACCACATAATGCCATCAAATGAGGAATAAATTAAACAAAAACTCAGAAGCCGAGCTGGCAGGGGGCAATCCAACCAAAACGGAACTTTATGGTGGGATTGGCCTTCTATGCATAGCATACATATGATGGCAAGAAACCTCCTCATTCCCATCATTCTTGGAAAACATCTTCTGTGCTATATGCAAATCTCGACTTCCTCCCCAAGTCACAAGCTATGACACACCCGCCACATCTCACAATTAAAAGCGCATGCCTTCCTGTAGATCCCACCGACAAGCTGAGGCCGGAGATCTGGTCTGGCAATGTGTGGGGAGCACCACTGCTCTCAACTTCTGCTGACACCCAAGACTGGCTTCCGGATCAGACGCTGGTGCAGGAGTTATGGGTTACACATAAGACGCTTTGACAAGAATGAATGAATGAAATGTCTGCTGCCAAGTATACAGTACCCATAATGATGTTTTCTGAAAGTTCTCTGACATGCTGACATTTCCTGATAGTTCTGGGCTTTGACACGGTGACGTGATCTGAAAGTGTAAATCCAAAAATAGTCACCAGCCAAAGCATATTCTGTCAATTCTTCTTTACTGTCAAAAAGAAAGGTATGTCACAATGTGTAGCGGCGCTTCGGGACCATTTCGGTCCCTTCTTCAGGCAAACAGAGTGGCATACCTTTCTTTTGCCAATAAAGAAGAATTGACAGAATATGCTTTGGCTGGTGACTACTTTTGGATTGGTACTTGGTTTGCGGTGGCCCCCGCAGTCATTACAGCACCCACCCGTTGTTTTGGGTTGTAGACGGTCAGGAGTACGATGGGATTCTATGAAGTCTGATCTGAAAGTGTAACACGTACTAACACAGTGGCTTTTGCTGACAGTGCTGAGCTCTAGCAAAGTGGCATTTCCCGGTGGTTCTGGGCTCTGACAAATTGGCATTTCCAGACAGTGTGTTGGGCTCTGACAAAATTGCATTTCCCAACAGTGCTTGGGTCTGACGTTGTGGCATTTCTTAACAATGCTGGGCTATGACATAGTGGCATTTGCCAACAATGCTGAGCTCTGACATAGTGGCATTTGCCGACAATGCTGGGCTCTGACATAGTGGTATTTGCCGACAATACCGATCTCTAACAAAGCAGCATTTCCTGGCAGCACTGGATTCTGACAAACTGGCACTTACTGACAATGCTGGGCTCTGACAAACTGGCACTTGCTGACAATGCTGGGCTTTGACAAAGTGGCATTTCCCGACAGTGTGCTGGGCTCTGACAAAATTGCATTTCCCAATAGTGCTGGGGTCTGACATTGTGGCATTTCCTAACAATGCCGGGCTTTGACATAGTGGTATTTGCTTACAATGCTGGGCTATGACATAGTGACATTTGCCAACAATGCTGGGCTCTGACATAGTGGTATTTCCTGACAATGCCGAGCTCTGACAAAGCAGCATTTCACGGCAGCACTGTATTCTGACGTAGTGGCATTTCCTGATATTGCTGGGCTCTGACATAGTGGGAATTCCTGACAGTGCTGGACTTTGACATAGTAATATTTTTTTTCTTTCTAATTTTACTGCTCAGTACATAAGCATAGTTTTGCTACTTTGGTATTAATATTTGTTTAGGAAGAAAGAAGACACAAGTCCACTGAGTTCCACCTTCAAAAAAAACGCCTGATCTAGAGCTAGGCAAAAACCTGCATAGCCCTAATTTATGTTGCGAGCGGAGAAAAAGTGCTCCCTGATCCCTGGTGGGAATCATATATATCCATGAATTACCATTTTGATGAAGCCCTTTACATTTGTATTGTAGGAAGGCATTCAGCTTTTATGGTTTTCTGTTTTTGACAACACACTTTGGTTGTATGCAAAGAAGAGACATTGCGTTGTCCATGACAACCAACCCCATTCACAATGAAAGGGATTGGTTGCCATAGGGAACCCGGATACGTTTTCCTTTCCTGAGCGCTTATATAGGCGGAGTGGTTTGCTGTGACAGATGCACTGCGTTCTCTGGAGAATCTCTAACTATAACTGGTTACATGTGGGAGAGCTGCCTCCTGTCCGCGCATCTACTTAATATAGCATAAATATTCATTTAGCGGGAGTCAGTTTAAACACGCTTGTTTGTTTTTTGTGAAAGCTTCGCTATATATAGAATCTCGGCTAACTGGTTACACTGCCCACAAATGCAAATGGTCATTAGGCTGGGCACAGCGGCCGGACGATGCCCCCTGCTCAGTCATATCTGATAAATAGATCTCAGTAGTTCCCAACCCACGTGCAATGATATGTTTATATACCGCTGCAGCACAGGTGAAGTGTTTGGGTAAGGGGAGCCCTAAAAAATATATTGGGTGAAATTTTGGGTGAATTAGGTAATTACTCTTGTCTTGTTTATTTTTCTCTTCACTTCCCATTGGGATGATTTCCCTTCCCAGTAGGAGGATTTCTCTTCCCTTCCCAGTAGGAGGATTTCTCTTCCCTTCCCATTGGGAGGATTTCTCTTCATTTCCATTGGGAGGATTTCTATTCCCTTCCCCCATTGGGAGGATTTCTATTCCCTTCCCAGTAGGAGGATTTCTCTTCCCTTCCCATTGGGAGGATTTCTCTTCATTTCCATTGGGAGGATTTCTATTCCCTTCCCCCATTGGGAGGATTTCTATTCCCTTCCCAGTAGGAGGATTTCTCTTCCCTTCCCATTGGGAGGATTTCTCTTCATTTCCATTGGGAGGATTTCTATTCCCTTCCCATTGGGAGGATTTCTCTTCCGTTCCCCCATTGGGAGGATTTCTCTTCACTTCCGATTGGGAGGATTTATCTTCCCTTCCCATTGGGAGGATTTCTTTTTACTTCCCATTTCGAGAGTTTCCCTTCCCATTAGGAGAATTTCTCTTCACTTCCAATTGGGAGGATTTCTCTTCTCTTCCCATTGAGAGAATTTCTCTTCACTTCCCAATGGAAGAATTTCTCTTCACTTCCCAATGGGAGGATTTCTCTTCACTTCCAATTGGGAGGGTTTTTCTTTACTTCCCATTGGGAGGATTTCTCTTCACTTCCCAATGGGAGGATTTCTCTTCACCTCCCATTGGGAGGATTTCTCTTCACTTCCCATTGGGAGGATTTCTCTTCACTTCCTGACCCATAAACATAACAGGAATAGAGAGTAAATCTTTCCAAAGTGAAGGAAAGCCATCTTAAACTGTAATACCAGCTGAATTGGCCGAATTTGGAGCTGTTGGTCAAAGGCGATAGGTGGAAAACGAATGGCCGAGCAGTGCCTGCACCCAGGCGGGAGCGACGCCTGCTGAATACAACATCCGGAAGTGGGGATTCCCCAATCTGTGTTGTTTAGTGTGGAGCTGAACAAAATAAATCCAACAGCGTGTGGCTAGTCTTGGCCTCTATTCCTGGTTTGGTGACAACTCATAATTTCATATTTTGCCTCTCTTTTAGTCCTGGTCGCAGTCTGTGCATGACATCGGATGGTATACCAGAAATGGATGTGAAGTTACAACTTGTTCCTTACTCATCAAGGAGGCAAACCATACATATCTATCTGCACAGTGACCAGTTTTAGGGTATTTATTACTCACCGACGGTCGGAAGGGGGCGGCGGGAGGGGCGTCCATACTGTGCTGTTTCCCTCCTGGGACGCTTTTCCTCCGGGAACGGGCTTGGTGATAATCTGGGGAGGATATTAGTGTATTAGACATTTTTACTGATAGACAAAAAAATACAGGAGGTTGGATCTATAAATCTGGAAGGCTTACATGTATTTTGGAAGACTGATGTTGAACCCCACCTCCCACACCATTTAGCCCCTTCCTTTATATACTACCATGGCAGGTCTAAGGAAGTTAAGTGGCAGATGAGTTTGGCCTTACACGCACAGGGACCAATTAGAGATAAGTCTTTAAAGGAGAACTATGGGGTCAGTGTTTTTCCCCATAGTTCTCCTTAGTGTAACGGGAGGACACAAACTAGCGTCCTCCCATTACCCTAAGCTCAGTATACCGCGAGCTACAGCTCACGGTATACTGAGACGCCGCAGCCGGAGCGGATCCCGACTTAGACGACGGGATCCGCCCAGCTGCGTGAGTGACAGCTGGCTGTGGCTATCTAGAGGCAGAGCCGGCTGTACCCGCCCCCTCCCTCGTCCGTTCCGCCAGTCAGCGCTGGCGGATCGGAGCGGGAGGGGGGAATCCAGCCCCGCCCCTGTCACGGCAGAGAGCCATGACAGGATCGAGAGGTGAGCGAACCCGGTATCTGTTCGCTCACCTCCCGATCTACTGAGCCGACCTGTGACAGTCTCATTGTCACAGGTCGGCTAGAACTATGAGGTGAGTGAAAAGCACTCACCTCATAGTTCTCCTTTAACCTGACGCATGCTTCCTGATTTCATCATGTGTTTATTGCCCATTCCTTTTTTTTTATCATGGGTACACCTGGACAAGGGGACCAGTGTTCCGGCTGAGCCGCTGATTGGCCAACTCTGCCTTAACTTCACTCGCCCAAAACTCTGTGCATAAAATCACATGACCATTGCTCTGGCATCTGGTCATGTGATGGCACAACAGGAAGTCCAATGCAGTAGTTTCTTTGCTTTATTTTAAACTGAAGGTCCTCTGCAAAAATGCATATTGCCAGCAATAGGCTACTGCACTTAACAATAAGCACTTCAGAATAAAAAAGCTCTTAAAAGAGAACTATGGGGTAAGTGTTTTTCCCCATAGTTCTCCTCAGGGTCACAGGAGGACATATACTAGCGTCCTCCCGTGACCCAAAGCTCAGTATATCGCGACCTATTGCCTGCGATATACTGAGAGCATATCTATAGAACCGACGTGTGGCAGTTTAATTGTCACACGTCGGCTCGAACTATGAGGATGAGTGAAAATCACTCACCTCATAGTTCTCCTTCATTTTAATAAAACAGCTTATGTTCAGAATTTTATATCTACATAGAGGCAGCTATACTGGCCAATTACATATGCATGCTCTGCTTACTACTTCCAAATGCTGCTCATTGGTTGTACTTTATTGCTTCTCTCTTAGGCTGGGTTCACACCATGTTCTGAACCAGATCTGGAACATAGTGCATTGCGTTTTTGCCGCGTTTGAAAATTATTTTGTTTAGTTTTGTTGTTTAGCTTAAAATGGTCTTACAGGTGCGTTCCGTGCATTTTTGATTCGTTTCTATGCATTCCAGTGCATTCCAAACCAGACAAATTGAGACATGCAGTATTTTTCTGGTCTGGAACGGACTGCGCTGGTGGGAACAGAGGCCAGAAATAGCATAGGGATACATTGGGATGCATTTTGGGTCCGGAAAGAGTCTTGTCTGGTCTGGAGGTAATCTGGATGTGGTGTGAATGGGCCCTTAAAGAGGAATTCCGGGAATTTTAAAATGTAACCATTGCAGTGCGACGACCCCTACGCGGCAAGGCTTATCTGGTCATGTTTGTCTAGGGGACCGTATAAATACTCACCTAACCCACGGTCCCACTTGGCTGCTAGATCAGTCCCCGCAGCCTCTTTTGCACCGGGCTTCGGCAGTCTAAGGAGCCCCTGAGTCATCACGACTACAGTGCATTGGACACGAGGATGCCAAGGAACATACCAAAGTCGGAGAGAGGAGGGGGAGAGAGGTGAGCAGTCTCTGCCACGGGATCGAGGATGGGGGTGAGTATTTCTTATTTTTTCGGTCCCCTAGAGTAGGTAAACCTTGCCGGGTTGGGGTAGCCCCCCTGCAAGGGTTAACTTTTACAATTCCTGGAGATGGGATCTGTTTTAAGAAAGAAGCAGTAAAGCAATGTGCAGCACTAGGAAGCAGATCATGCATATGTAATTAGCAAGCATAGCTGCCTATAGGTAGATCTACAATTCCAGATTATAAATAGACATAAACTGTCTTATTAAATGAAACTCGGGTCTGGCTAAATTAAAACAACGCACACTCTCTGGATAACTATAGGAGGCAGAGACTGTGGCAATTACAGACTTAAAGGGGGGAATGTATGCATCTGTATACGGAAAATATGAAAATACGGTACAGCAGGCATTAGAAAATGCACAACGGTCAAGTAAACAATACAGTGGCACCATAAATAAATACATGCGTGCTGAAAACACGCTATATGTTTCTGGCACGCATCGAATGATCCTGGAGTTCCAGGTACTTTTGTGCTTTACAGGGGTAATTATGGCTTTCATATAAACTGTATAAAAAGACACAATGGCTGAAAATGATGAGAAAGTTCTCTTATGGAATAAAGTAACAACAGGAGGTAATTATGGGGGTAAGAAATTCCCCTGACAGGTACTACTGTCGTTGTATTTGTCAATTACAGTATTAAAGTTATCTACAGACCTGAGAAATGTACAATTTTCCTTCTTCTCAGGAAGATTTTAGAAAGATCCTTCATACAAAATATCTTTGGTGGAAGAACGTTGCCATTAAAAATCTGCTTGTATATCCGGAATTTTTGTGAATTTATCCCTGGATGATTTTTTTTTTCCTATTTCATTGATCCATCTGTACTCTTTTCCGACCAGAGGTTACTGATACCTAGATGCCCAAGCCAAATGTAGTAGCGCCAGAACGCGTCAGTTAACTTAAAGGAGAACTATTGGGTAAGTGTTTTCCCCCATAGTTCTCTTTAGGGTCACGGGAGGACACATACTAACCTCCATCTGTGACCCACAGCTCAGTATATCGCTGGCTTTTGCCTGCTATATACTGAGACCGCCGCAGCCGGGAAGAATCCCGACATCACTGTTGAAATCCACCCAGATGTGTGAGTGACAGCTGGCTCTGCCTATTTAGAGGCAGAGCCAGCTTTGCCCGCCCCCTCCCCCGTCCGTTCCTCCACTCAGTGCTGGAGGATCGGAGAGGGGAGGGGGGAATCCCTGCGGGGAATGATGACAGACAGTCACTGCAGGGAGACGATCGGGAAGTGAGCGGATCGGCGGCATGTTTCTGCTCACTTCCCAATCAATAGAGCCGACCTGTGACAACTTCTTTGTCACAGGACGGCTCTAACTATGAGGATAAGCGAAAAACAACTCACCTCATAGTTCTCCTTTAACAATAACTCCATAACAGTAACAGTGGCGTAACAATCGCCATAGCGACGGCGGCCGTTATGGGGCACGTGGCATGGGGGGCCCGGCCAGGACACCCCCTGGTGCTGTGCGGGCCGCCTGGTTCGCTATGGCATTGGGAGCCACCGGCAACCGTGGAGCAGAAGGAGGCGGAGAGCAGATTAGGGCTGACAGGTAAGGGGTGTGACCAGCCCATCTGAGACCCTTCAGAGCCCACCATAGAGAGTCTATGATGGGCTCACAGGGTCACCCTCAGGTGGGCTGTTTGGGATATCAGGTGGGCTCTGCCAGGAGTGTAACTAGAAATCACAGGGCCCCATACAAGATTTTGCTATGGGCCCTTGTGATTTCTAGTTACCCACCTGACTGTATGACTAATTTCCATACACAAATAGTTCTTAAGGATATATATGGTTTTTACTTGTTTTTTTTCTATTACATGTTGATATACGCACAAAAATTTACAAAAAAACAAGTGTGCCCTTTTTTTCTATTCATGCATTACTTATTTTTTACTACTGTTGTTGTGTATGTTAGTTGCAGTATTAAACAGTTGAACACTGCCACCAGCGCTGTCTGCAGGCTGAAGGCTTACTTTATCAAAAAGGCATCCAGCAGGCAATATGAAAATCAAACGTAGAGATCACCAGTGGCAGTCTTTACCATCACCCTTATAATGAACCCTTGACCTGAAACCCAACAAAAACCGAAACAATTTACATCAACACGCCCAATACATCCTATCCTTCCACACCTAACCCTTGACCTGAACCCTAAGCTGGAGCTTCCTATAATAAATCCCCCCCCCCCGTAGTTATCTGCAGGCAGCCTGTAGTGGGTGGGACTTGTTTGGCCCATCCCACAGCTTTACTTTCTGCACAGGTTATGAGCAGCACAATGATGATGTCACTGCTACTTTTATATGTTAATACCTGGGCCTGCAAAGACATTTGGTGCACACAAAAGTGGATTTATATCCTATGTGGCTATTGAGGCATATATTTAAAGGAGAAGGAGAAGTAGGTACATATATTATCAAAGTATCAAACGCAGTTCCTTGCCAAAATATAACAATACAAGTCTTGGCCCCCAAAGGTATTAATTTGTGCAGCGGGTGTGCTCACTTGGCAAGTGAGTAACTCTAGACCAGGGATGGGCAACTCTGGCCCTCCAGCTGTTGTGGAACTACAAGTCCCATGAGACATTGCAAGACTCTGACAACCACAGGCATGACTCCCAGAGCCAGAGGCATTGCAAGACTGACACTTATAGGCATGATTCCCAGAGGCATGATGGATATTGTAGTCAAAGCACAGCTGGAGGTCCGGAGTTGCCCGCCGCCCCCCACACCCCCAGCTCTAGACAAAACTTTTATATTTTTTTGTCAGTTTTGGATGGGCAGCGGTAAGAACCTATGTCAGGGTTTTATTGCTGCCCGGAGAGATTCACTCTCTCTTTTCTTAGCGGTCATTGTCACTGACATAGAAAGTGATGGGGAAACAAACATGTTACCGTTATCTTCCAATAGAGATACTGCTTCTGGTAAAAACTTGCAGGGCATTTCCCTGCATTTTGCAAAGA